AGGAGAGCTGTTCAGTTCATGATAACCAGGAAGTAGACAGACTGTTCCAGTAACTTGTATGGTAAGAGAAAATCCTAGATCATGCATTGGGTTTATTATGTATCATGTCTCTTTGATCTGCTTTAATGACACACAGTTCCCCAATTTTCCTTTTTGCTTCGTGACACTGACACTTTTGAAGAGGTAAATTGGATATCTTGTAGAATACCTTTCAATTTATGTTTGTCAGATCATCTTCTCGTTGTTATTCAGATTATGCACTTTTGGTAGGAGTATCATAGAAGTGATGTAAGACTCTCAATGAATCACACCTTTTTTTTTTTTTTTAAACTGAAAGCTCTTCATCCTTCTCCACTCCTACTCCTCTAAAAAGTTTTAAAATAATCATTGTCATCCATTAGCATCTATTCAGTACTCTCTATGTATTTACATACACTCACATCTGTATTCAGGCACACACAAGTAACCTTTAAAAAAATCTAACAAAAAGAGTACATAATGCTCATTTTCCTACTGCTATGCAATTTGCCTTTTTTTCATTTAACTGTATGTCTTAGAGAGCATTTCATGATCTATCCAGTGCAGATTCATCTCATTCTTTAAAAGAAGCATTTTTTAAAATAGTATATATCCTTGTTTATTTTGTCCCCTATTGATGAATACTTATTTTCCATTTTTCTATCACAATCTTTTGTGATAAATCACAAACATACATATAAGAACACAGCTAACTTACAATTTTGATACTATCAAATAGCTTTCCTAAAACACTGCGACAACTTGTGTTTCCATCCACCACATGTGAGACAATTTTCTATTTTCTGATTATTGGTGATATTGAGCACCGCTTATCATAGTTCATTGCCTTTTGATTCTTTTATTGTTTGTTTGTGGTGCTAGGGATTGAACCCAGGGCCTTGTGCATGTGAGGCAAGCACTCTACCAACTGAGCTATGTCCCCAGACCCAGTTCATTGCCTTTTGAATATATTGTTTTGTAAAATGCCAGTTAGTGTTCTTTGTTGTTAGAGTTCTGGATTATTGGTCTTTTTTCAGTCTTACTATTTATTGTCCAGGTCCTGTCAGCTGACATCCTATAGAAAGGTTTCTCTTTCCTCTGGGCAGCCAACTATTCTCTTCTTTGCTATCTCATAATACTGTTCACATTGCACCAGGCTTTCAGTTACCAACCATTCCATATTAAATTCACTTATTCTGTAAGTGTTCACCTTATGTTTTTGGCCTTAGGCAAAGTGCTAGGTAGAGATCAGGTCATGCATTGGGTTTATTATGTATCATATCTCTCTGATCTGCTTTAATAAGGCACAGTTCCCCAATTTTCCTTTTCTCCATCAAGGAGTTTGAAATGAACGTGTCAGAGTACAGAGAAGAACATAAGTTTGGATTCAGACAAAACTTGGATTTGAATCCCAGATCCACCACTTCTCAGTTGTGGGACAGAAAAAGTTACTTGACCTCTCTAAATTTCAATTTCCACCCTGAAGAAACAAGCTAATACTTCTTTTACAGCGTTATTTTTAAGGTAGGTGAGAGGCAAGGTATCTGAGGTGGCTAGCAAGGGCCTGTTCCATAGTAGGCTCTAAGTAAATTAATCATAATTGAAAGGCAACTGTTAAGAGATTGAAAGGATTAGTTTTAGGACCTATTAAGAAACTGGAAAAAAGAAAAACAGAAAAAAGGTAGTTTTTCCTCTTTGCACTGGGAAGGATAAGAATGAGTCGTGATATGCCCCACTCCTACTCTCCCCATCCTACTACAGTCTATCTTCCATCTTGTCTGTCCTCTTCAGCAGGTTTCTGCTTTGTCCTGGACCATTATCCCAATTCAGCTCGCTATTGTTGACATAGGGCTATTACTACCCCAGAGGAAAACAAGTGCTTCCTTCCTCAAATAATCTCTTCAGAATATTTTCTGTAACAGTACATGCTGCTCATGATTTGAAAAAGTGGAGACCAGAGACAACTTGAAGTGGAAAGAGAAATGCTCTGTGTGTGTGTGTGTGTGTGTGTACGCATCCATGTGTACTTGGGGAGAGACTTACACTAATCGGACCAGGATTAAAGACACAACTCTGCCTTTCTTAAGTTACTAACGGCAAGTCAGTCTTTCCCTTCTTGGCTTCATTTACTCTGCAATAAAAGATTAGATCTCAATTTCTAAAGAGTCTTGTAAATGGAGAGTTCACTATATAAAGACATGGGATGTGTGAATATACACCACTGTCCTTAGTCAGAAATCTCTGTATCCTTGGACTCCTGCAGTTTTTTATAACCATCTTAATGTCATGGAGCACCATACTTGCATTCTAGTTATTTGGGGTCATGACATAGTTTTCCCACTGAACTGACAGTGGTGGATCCAATTCTGGTTCTTAGTTTCTTAAAGCCTATATACTTTTATTGAATGCCCTGGTGTCTTCTAGGCACTGTATCAGCTAGTAAACAAACAAAAACAAAATTAGAACTTCTGCCTTTAAGGAGTTCCACAGTTTAGCTGGGACCCAACTTTAAGACCATTACCTTGACGGAGGTTTGTCCAAAGTATGGGGGGTCATAGGGAAGGAATGTTTGTCTTGTCTGACTGAATTGGAAGGTTTCCCTTAAGACCCAAGACTTCAGCTGAGTAGGGTGAATAGGGGTACCTTAGAAAGTCAGGAAAAAGAAGGTTGCTGGCTATGGGAGTGTTGTCTGTAAAGGCATGGATGTGGGGAATCAGTATGCTGGCATCTGCTCAGGATTCAGCATGACAGTGAACAGGTAGGCAGATGTCATCTTATGAAGTGCCATTTATGCTATCTAAAAGTCTATCTGTTTTGACTCATAATGTAAGGAAGTTTTGAGGTGGGAGAGAAGTACATCTTTGTTGAATGCATGAGGAATAATGAGAAAATGGAGTATAGTAATTGGATGTATTTCCTAAATTTGTGGCAGTTAGCAAATTATTTAACCTCTCAAGTCTGTTTCCTTTTTTTTCTTCTGTGAAATGAGAGCTTTAAAAAAGAAAAAGAAAGAAAACAACCTCAAAAGGTTGTTCATATTTTAAAGAAATTATATCTGCCTGGTGTTGTGGTGCATGGGTGTGGTGGTACACCCCTGTAATTCCAGTGGCTTTGGAGGCTGAGGTGAAGGAGCACAAGTTCAAAGCAAGCCTTAGCAATTTAGCAAGGCTGTAAGCAACCTAGTGATAACTGTCTCAAAAATAAAAAACAAATAAGGCTGGGGATGCGACTGAATGATTAAGCGCCCTTGGATTCAATCGAAAGGAAGGAAGGAAGAAGGAAGAAGGAAGAAGGAAGGAAGGAAGGGAGGGAGGGAGGGAAAAGGAGAGAGAGAGAGAGAGAGATTGTTGTATTTTATCTTTTAGATGGAGTAAGCCTGGCCTGGCACTTGACAAAAATTCAAAAAAATTCATAAAGATGGCATTTATTTTACCTATTACCTAAGCACAAACAATTCAGAAATCTGTGACCTCATTTCTATGCCTGTTTGCTTGTTTGCAAAATGGGCTTTCCAATTTCACCTGTTTATGGTATTTCCTTTTCTTTCTAGCATTTTACCAACGTTTTAATCAAAACTTCTAATTATTTTCCTTGTTAAACTCTTTAAGATTATAGTCAAACTATCTATATTCTGTTTTTCCAGCTTAACTCTTGGCTCCATGAGACCAGAGATTTAAAAAATTTTACCACTTATCCTTACTTTCTAGCACAGGTTGGCTCTTAACAGATGTTCAATAGATGTTGACAAAAGAATAGAAGTCAAGCTTTTCTTGGAGGTCTGTTGCTAGGGGCCAAGGAATTGGTTAAGTGTTATTTGTAAGTGTGCACTGATGGGTTTAAAGTGTTTAAAGGGGTGTGAGAAGCAGAACTAGAGCTAAACGCGCCTAGCACAATCTTGTAAGTCTCCAGAGGCTTCCAACAGACCAGCATTAATTCCAATCTTTTCCAGCACTCAAGGTTCACAATGGGTTAATTTATTGCCTGGTATTTCATTAAAACGCGGAAGCCCCCCAGTGTGAACTATGTTCAACTGCAACCTACAAGGGGCAGGTAACCAGTCAGGGTTCCTCAGAGAATGGGCGAAGTAATTTGAAGCCAGGCAATCTCCACAGTCTTTTCCCTCGCTGAGGATCCTCGGGTCCTCTGCCAGAGCACGTTGCCGGCGGTGGTAGGCCCCGTCGCTGCCGGGCTTTGGATCTGCTCCGCGCCACGTGGCGCAGAGAGGGCGTTCCCTCGGCTCGAGAGGAGGAGGTGGAGACTGTTCTAAATCTCCCAAAGGCACCATGGGAGTCGTAGTTTTCTCGTGTGCACAGAGGGCGGGAGCTCCTGCCCTTCAAGTAACAACTCTCTCGTGCAACTCATCTAAACAAAATATTCTCCACAATAGATGGATCTAGGTAGTTTCAAAAGAAGGCGTGAAGAGGAAGGAGCAAAGCAAATAAAGCAAACCAAAAAAATTATCGGCGAGGAAGAGAAAGGGTTAACAGTCGTTACGCATGCGTACAGAGGTCCAGGTGGTGGGCGGGGACGGAAGAACGACTGTCGAGAGCTCTGTTTTCCCGGAAGTGCCTTCCCTCCTCCCGGGTCCGCGCGGACGCGGCTTCCTTACCTCATTTGTCCTCGCCCCTCCCCGTCCCTCTACGCGTTTTGGTTCCTGGTTGGTGCTTCCTGGTCGCAGCCGCGGCAGTGAGTATGTGTGTGACGGACCCCATGTCTTCCGCGACCGGGAACCCTTGCCCGCCTTCCGCCTCGCCCGCCAGGCTGTGGCACTAGCTTGTGCTCCCTCGTCGGCCTCCGCACCCGGGTCCCTCTTCACTCGTGTCAGGGCGCAGTTCATGGCTTCTCATCCGTGTGCTGCTCCGGGCGGCTCGGCCAACAGGCTGGGTTGTGCGCGACTCCCTGCTCCTCCATGGCCTGAGGCCGTGGTTCAACAAGAACTGGGCGTTGATGGTCTGCGAAGGGGTGGCTTTTCTGCCTATTTCACCTGACGCCCCACAAGGTTCCCCTGTTCTGGGAAGCCGGTCCGTCAGTTAAACGCGCAGGTCCTGCTGCGCCGAGGCCGAATGCGGCCTTTGAGGACCGATCAATCCCGGGCTGACTCTAGCCTCTACTGTCAGAAGCTGCAGCTACGGGACCAGAAAATTGGGGGGAGCTGAAACCTTTCCCTCGTGTAAAACAAGGAGACTTGAATTATATTCCCAAAGATTCCTCTTATCCCCCGCATCTTGCTCGTCAATAGTTGCTTTAAACTTTAGGGAAAAGCTTCTGGTGCATCGGAAAAACTCTGGCAGCAGGCCTGGGTTCTAGCCATGGTTCCACCACTGACTAGAAATCTCTTCTTTAGGCTGAATTTACGATTGTTTCAGATTAAAGGATTGAATTAGAAATTGAATTAGAAAATCTTTTAGGGCCTTTATATTTCTCTTGAGATCGTTTCTCCCAAGTATAAAATCAAAGCGTTTATATGATAACTCAGGTTCCTTCAAAGCTCCTGACTTTGTTTTGAGTACTTAGGCTGTCGCAAAGACTTATAAGCGACATTGTATACTTAAGGCTGTATTGTGCTTTGGGGACAGTTTAGTATTATTGCTATTATCTGGAGAATCTGAGGATGAGGAATGAATTGAGGAAGATTTGGAAGTGGGAATTGAACAAGGGAATGGCATGGGGGAATGGGATGGGGATTATTGGACAGCTCACAGGGGTAAGAGGCTTTATGGTAAAAGGAGAAGAGTTGAGAGAAATCTGATGGAAGTGTTTTCAGATAGGGTTTAGTTCTTGTAAAAAGCCTTTGTATATTCCAAGAACAGCTGAGATTTATCTCAAATTGAGCATAATTTTCTCGTCTTGATACTGTGTTCCCTCTTTCTCTTTTTTATGACCATTGTTTCACACATATAGATCTTTAAGTCATATTTGATTTAAAGTGTCACATTTGAAAAATGGACAGGAATTTTAACCCCAGTTGTTATTTTCAGGGCAGCACTAAAGATTAAGTCAGAATTTTTCAGTTTAGATAAACTATGTAGAAATCACTTTTCTATTGGAAACTGTGGACTTAAAATCAAGCTGTAGGGCTGGGGATGTAGTTCAGTGGTTGAGAGCTTGCCTAGCTGCTTAAGGCTCTGGGTTCAATCCCCAGCCCTGCAAAAAGCAAGCAAGCAAGTTAATTGTAGATTTTATTTAAATCTGACTGAGGTGAATGCTTATGTCATCAAGAAGGAACATCTTAGCTAAAACACTTTGGAAGGAAATAAGAGCAAAATGTTTGGAATGACCAGCAGGTAGACTGTTAGAATAGAAGCATTGGCTTTAAAGATTGTGTAAGTAAATTCTGAAAGCTTAAATAAACTTAAGTTGTGTAGTTTTTAAAAATCCAGTGAATAAATACTACTCCCTTTTTTGACAGCAGGAGCTGTCAAAATTTATATTTGATATGCTATTTTAATTTTTCAGATAAGTTTTTCTCTATTTTAGGTTCTTGTATGGAAGCATCCTTTTTAGTAATAGGATTGATAAAGTCTATCTTTGAGTTCTTGAGTGATAAACTGACAAATTTAAATGTGTGCTTTTTCTTTTAATGAAAATGCCTCTGAAAGTTTTCATACTGCACTGAGAAGTAAAGTAGATATGCATGAGGTAAATTTAGGTGTTAGAGCCAATGCACATATAACAATCTTCATTTGAAATCATTTTGAAAATTTTATTTTCAAATCTTAGTGCTTGATTGAGAGTCAGAAAAGTGTGAATCATCAGTTCTAGCTGTATTCTTAACCAACTGCCTGACTTTGGGTGGGCTTCCTTATTTCTTATCACTTTGGATCTCAGTTTTCGCATGTAAATTGAGGGGGTTGTGTGAAATAATCCAAAAGGTCCCCTCCAGATTTACAAGTTTGTGACTATCGTAAGGGCCTTATTTTGTCTAGTTGAGTAGATTTGGGAATCATGTCCAATGATCAAAAAAACGGAGAAAGCTTTCTGAGTTCAGGGATCTATCTGTATCTATATTCTCTCTCTCTCTCTCTCTCTCTATATATATATATATGTATATGTATATATACACACACATATATGTTTTTATATATGCACACATAGATACATTTTATCTCATGTTCATCTCTGAGTATGCTTTTAAAAAATAAATGCATTCAAATGTAATTAAAATAGTAACATAAACCAAACAGCCTGAGGCAAACCTTAACCCTGGCATACATAAGCTACATAAATAGAAGAGAGCATGTTATGCCTGAGCACAATTTTCAAGTACAGAAGGTACAAAATCCTCTTAAAGGCCATAGGGGCTAAATTGTTAAATTCATTTTTCTACATTTCAGGAAAGGAGATAAATCCTTAGACCCAAGGAAGTCAGTTTTTATTATGGTTCTGTAGTTTATTTTTGGCATACATTCACAGGTGTGCCTATGGCTCTATTCTTAATCCCTTTCCTTTGGGATGGCTCCAAGAGTAGTACAAATTTGTAACTCTGTAATTTAGCTCTTTAATTTTTTCTGTGCTGCACTGGAATTATGTTTTATCTTAAGTCCACATTGGATCCTCAGGATGGATCCAGTGAGGATTTTGAAGGAAGCATAATTCCTTTGCCTTCTTTTAGAATTAATTTACCTATTAAGTAAAAAGGAAAGGATTCATCTTTTATTTGAATTCCTCTGAGGCTAACATTTCAATATAAACTGATAAATGCTATGGGCATTATTATTCAGACAGTCACATTCAACTTTTATGACCATAACAGCATAGCAACCTGAAAGTGCAATAGGGGAACAGATATATTGTAACTTTTAGAAGAAAAAAGATAGTAAAAGTTGGTTTCTTTATTTCTGGAAAACAAAAGAGTTTTTGGGTCAGCTGCTTTTATGACCAAAATCACCATCACAGTATCACAGTATCCTGGCGTTTTGGGCAGAGATGGGAAACTAAAAACATAATTATTCTCTCAATTATATCTGTATATCTGAAAGTGGAAAAAATAATAAATTGGCATCATTACTAGGGCATCCCTGGTGTGCTGTAGGCCAGACCACCCAAACCCTCACCCCTGTAATAGAAATTTAACCCAGGGGGACTCTAACATTGAGGTACATCCCCAGACCTTTTTCTATATTTTATTTTGAGACATGGTCTTCCCATGTTGCCCAGGTGGCCTCAAACTCAAGATTCTCCTGCCTTAGCCTTCCAGGTAGCTGGGATTACAGGTGTGTGCTTCTTCCTTGCACAGTTTTTAAACAAACACAATTTGCTTTTCTAAAGCTCTCATTTTGATCAATATTCCATTATACCTAGTTGAAACATCTTTGTAGATTTCTGGTTGATGATTAAGAGAATTTAAGTCTTTAGAATGTTGAAGACAACTGAGAAATTATCTCCATAATTTCTGTTTTCTAGGCACACATTAGCTCTATCAGAGCTGAAGAAAAATGTCTGAAAATATGATTCCTATTCATTCATTAATTCAACAGACATTTATAGAGGTCCCCCTAAATATCAGTTACTCTCTTTTTGGTGATCCTTCGTTTGAAACAAAGTACAGAGGGTCTTGCCCTCCTGTGGTTTCCAATCTGTTTCTGGGACATTTACATTGAAAAAGTAATTAAAAATGTGATGAATATTTTGAAATGTAAAGCATTGTGGAGACCTATAAAGAGATTTATAGTGGTATTAAGGCTGAGTTGGAAGATGAGCAGGATTTAATATGTGCATAATAGGAAAGTAAAGTGTTTTTTTGTATGCATTTATTCCCAAAGCCAGGAGTTTTACCTCAACTTCAGGTCTTTACTAAGTTTGCATTTCATATATGTTTTTATAACTAGCAAGGAAGTAAGTAGGTTTATCAGGTTTTTAAAATATATTCTTTTGGCCAAGGATCAGAAGGCCATCTTTTTTTTTTTTTGGTGCTGCTGGGGATTGAATGTAGGACTGCATGCATACTAGACAGGTGCTCTACCCCTAAGCTACACCCCTAATCCTTTAGATTAATTTTAAAATTCAGAATAAATACTTATACTCAAACACTAAATATGATAATGGCTTCATGTTATGGATTCAATCATAGTTGAAATAATATTCTTGTAAGACAGGGTATACCTGAAAAGAGAAAATAAAGAACCAGAACCAAGGAAGGGAAGATAAATGGGATAATGAGAAATAGTTACTTTTTTTTTTTTAAGTACTAGGGATTGAACCCAGGGCCTCTGACATGCTAGGCAAGTCATCTATTACTGAACTACACCCTTAGTACTACTTAAAATCTTTTTGCAATTTTTAACATTTTGGAGAACAAGTGTTCAGTGTCAGGCGGTGGGTCTCAACCATTTTTCTTTTCCAGTATACCTATGAATTATGATATTTCCATTAATAACTATAACAACTGGTTGTTAGTAATTCTCATTTAAGAGTATTATTCTCATTTGAGGGCATTTTTACATTGGGTCATAATATGATTTAGAAATTCATGGGAAAAAGCTCTCCTACAAGAAAAAGGTATTTTAATAAGTTGGAGAGAAGTGTTGGCCTTCATATAGAAGGTTGTGCTACGGATTGATATTATGCACTAACCACATAAGATCTGAGCTTTTAAAATACCTTTTTTGTATGACTTTTCTCTTTTACAGCATTAAGATTACCAACTTTCCATGATGTTTGGTGGCTACGAGACTATAGAAGCATATGAAGATGACCTTTATCGTGAAGAGTCATCTAGTGAACTGAGTGTTGATAGTGAGGTGGAATTTCAACTCTATAGTCAAATTCATTATGCCCAAGATCTTGGTAATGCTATTAGGGAGGAAGGACATGAAGAAAAGAACTCTGGGAATTCTGAATCATCAAGTAGTAAACCAAATCAGAAGAACTTAATTGTTGTTTCAGATAGTGAGGTCATCCAGCTCTCAGATGGGTCAGAGGTCATCACTTTGTCTGATGAAGACAGTATTTATAGATGTAAAAGAAAAAATATTAGGGTCCAAGCACAAGAAAAGACCCATGGTTGTTCTGCTTCTCCTCACTCTAATGAGTTGGCTGATAAGAAATCCAAGAGGAATATTGAGAAGCCTAAACCTGAAGAGAGATCAGCTATACTCCGAGAGGTCATGATTATAGAGGTCAGTTCAAGTGAAGAAGAGAGCACAATTTCAGAAAGTGATAATGTCGAAAGCTGGATGCTACTGGGATGTGAAGTAGATGATAAAGATGATGATATCCTCCTCAACCTTGTGGGATGTGAAAACTCTGTTACTGAAGGTTAGTATTATATAGGCCATTTTGAAAAGTAATATCATCCTTAATAAGGAGAACTGCTTTTTCTAGGCAATAGACCAGTAGGATATGCTCCTTAATTCCTCACTTTTTGGTCTTGTTTTTCATGAGACTTTCTTATCAGAGTCTACTTTAATGGTGGTCTCTCTGAACATCAGAAAGAGTATGTCAGAGTACCAAAGACACTCTGCTTCTGCTATAAGCACATTCATAGCTGCTTCTTCCTGTTTGGCTAGAGCCAGTTCTGGACCTGAAATCTTAGTTCTCTTCTCTCTCTGCTTGGTATCACAGGTGAGTACTACTTCTACCTCTGACATTGGCCTTGTGCTTGCATTTGGCCAAGTCTGTTGGGACTACCTCTTCCTAAGTGTTTTGCTTACCCAGGTGTTAGCCAGATAGCACGCATGGAGAATGATTGGTACTTAGAAGATACGGTTTTAGTATTAGGATTTTAGGAACTCCAAAGCCAGTAAGAGCAGATAAGAAAAACTGAAAGTCTCCAGAGTAGATTATAGGAGAGAATGTAAATTCCAAAAGCCACATTGTTGAGGATTAAACTTTAGGTGTTGTCTCTTCTGTCACAAGTGTAAGTCTTAATGCCTATTCATCTGCCCTATATACTACTCTTGAGACATACCATGGTACTTTACTGCTGCTCCAAACCTGTAGTGGCACCCTGCCATCCTTAGAAGAAATGATGACATCAGGATCCTCAGGAAGTAGCAAACTTTTTTTTTGTAAGGAATCAGGAAATATTTTAGGCTTCCAGGCCGTAGGATATCTTAAACTATTTGTTTTAGTTACTTTTTTTGCTGCTATGACTAAAGGATCTGACCAGCACAATTATAGAGGAAGAACTGTTTATTCAGGGGCTCACGGTTTCAGAGGTCTTAGTCCACAGAAGGCCGACTCCATTTCTTGGAGCTCCAGGTAAGGCTGAACATCACGGCAGGAGAGAGTAGTAGAGGGAAGCAGCTTACATCACACAGGAAGCAGAGAGAGAAAGAGACACTCCACTTTCCAGATAAAAATATGTACTCCAAAGCCACGCCCCCAATTCTCACCTTCTCCAGCCACATCCTACCACTTCAGTCACCACCCATTTAATCCTGTTAGGGATTAATTAACTGATTAGGTTAAGACTCTCATAATCCAGTCATTTCTCCTCCAAACCTTGCATTGTCTCACACATGAGCTTGTGGGGAATACCTCACATCCAAACCATAACACTATTTTCAACTTTGCGTCTGTGGGAAAGCAACCTTAGTTCCTAAAGAAATGGGATGACTGTTTCAATCTTATTTGCAAAAACAGGTAGTTGGCACAGGCTGTAATTTGATGACTCCAAGAATTTGACAGCATAAAGAAAAAGACTAGTAGTTTCAATATACAGCAGCATCAAGTGGAATTTTGTAAGAATAAAGGAAATCTGATAATCTTTTTAGGAAGACAGGAGGAACTTGAAGAGAGAGTAAACCTGTTTAATGCTTGGGATAGTGAGGTGAGCTAAGAGGTGGGATTGAATGTCTGTGTCATTAGTCTTAAAAATTGCTAAGCGATCAGATATTTGTAGCAGTAGAGAAATAAGAAATTCAGATGAATTGAGGTGGATAAGGGAACAAAAGTATGTTTATGATTTTCATGGGAAAATGAAAGCAAAAGGGAGAATGGGCAGAGGATAACTGGGGTGTTTCACACCATAAGCTTTTGATGTGAGAAGGATGTTTAAGTCCTATGGGGAGCACTCTTTGGCAGTGGTTGGTTCCTAATAATTTGAAGATGACAACTCCTTTAAAACAATTAGTATTTGGTAATTGAGAAAATGCATATTAGCAGAGAGCTGCTAGTACTCTTTTAAATGACTTTCTATTTTATTAATCATGTTGACTGCACAGTTGAGAAATCTTTATACATATATGTGGGAGATAGTCTTTAAATAATGTATGTCTCTGGGTACCCATTATAGTAACTATTTTTATAGCTCCCCTGGAGCCTGAAACTCATGGCTTGGAAATCATTGTGCTAACAGATCAACAATAAGAGAATAAAAGAATTGCTTGGAAGTAGTACTCAGTCAAAATTGAAATAGTATGAACTTGTAATGAGCTCACTTTGAAAGTTTCCATAACTTTTTTTTTTTTTTTTCAGGAATACTTGGTAGCCTGGAGCAAGGTGACAGAGACCAAATTATCCAGTATTAGGCATAACATTGTAGAAGGTCAAAATAAGCATTTAGTCTCTTCTTTCTCTAAATTGTGTTTCTCTAGATTGTCTTCCCGTGAGATCACACTTAGTTTCATTAGTCACTTCTATATTTGTAATGATCATATTGGCATTTTCTTAACTATTTTCTTCAGTTCAAGTTCCTCATGTGCAATTTGCTGAATATCTCCATTTGGGTATTGTACTGTTGTATCAGATTTAATATGCTGAAAAGAACGATTGTTATTTTTCCTTTGAAACCAACTTTCTTTCAGTTTAATAATCTGTAGAGAGTCAGGTTTGGGTGGTATTCACCTGTAATTCCACCTACACAGGAGAGTGAGGCAGGAGGATCACAATTTTGAGGCCAGCCTGGGCAAGTTAGGGAGACCCTGCCTCAAAATAAAAATAAAAAGTTCTGGGGTGTAGCTTCTTAATGGTAGAGTGCCTCTGAGTTCAATACCCAGTATCATCTCTAACCTCCCCCACCACACACCCACACACAGAATCTGTAGAGATGCTGAAGTTGGTGGCAGAGTATAGATAGATTGTGAAAAAAGGAATAAGTGCTACCTTCATGGAGGGACTTGGAACTGTGTCATGCCTGTGGTAAATGATGGTGATGAGATGCCAAGAGACTGATCATCTAGACTAAAGAGCTAGTAAAGTGATGATGGATGGTGGATACACTGTGGTAGTGTAGCATGGGGTAGGGTGACCGTTTTTCTTTTGGTTGAAAAAAGGAGTGTCAGAGCTAAAATTTCCATGAGAGTTAATTGCTTTCTTGGAATTGTTAGCAAAAGATAGTTTTCAATTAAAAAGAAGGCATGTGGAGGTGATTTGTTTATTAAAATTATATTGTATAAGTGTTGGGTCATGGAAATGAAGGGCAGTCTTAAAAGGTATTAACTGTATAGTTTGGACACTCCCCAACCTTCCAAAAAGTACTGTTTAGCATGGAAATGTGGAAGGACATTTATTTCAGATTGGAGAGTAGGGAAAGATTGTTAGAGACCAGGATGTAAGAGTTGAGTTTTGAAGAAAGGACGAGAGGTGGGTTGGAATGGAAGGTTTTAGGAGAAGAGGACAGCACGTGCAAAGGCATTGCAGAATGAAAACGGTGACTTTGGGGATGTGCAAGTATTTTAGTCTGATTTGTAAGGTGCTTGTTGGAGAGTAAGGAATTATAAATGCAGTGAGGCCATGGTGCCTAGCACATAAGGGGACTTTCTGTGTCCATTTTAAAAAAATATTTTGAAATCCAGGCTGGTAGCACATGCCTTTAATTTTGGCTACTCAGGAAGCTGAGGCAGGAGGATCATGATTTGGAGACCAATCTGGGCAACTTAGCAAGAACTTATCTCAAAAAATAACAATCTGGGGATGTAGCTCAGTGCTAAGAGCACCCCTAAATTGGTTCCTCAGGATTGTAAAATAAACAAAAACAAAACAAATTATCCTGAAATTTCTACAGCTATTGAAGGATTTTAAGCAGGTGAGTAACATGTTCACATTTTTTATTTTAGAAAGAATTTTAGTGATATGTGAAAAATGAATTGCAGAGTTAGGAATTATCAAGATGAGGGGGTAGATGGGTTTTCTTTTGTAGCAATCTGAACTAAAAGTGATAGGGACAGAATTAAGCTAGATAGTGGTAGAAAGGATAGCAAGGAGGAAATGAATTTGAGAGAGAGCTTTATGTGGGAATATGGATATAACTTGGTGTTGGATTAGAAAAGAGAGAGAAAGGAACAAGTTAATGATGACTTTGAAGTCATAAACCTGGGGAACAGAAAAAGGAACAAATTAAATGGGAGCTGATGTGATAGAAAAGGGGATTCTTAGGACAAAATGAAGAATTGGTAAGATGGTGGATGTGAGGATGGAATAAGAGGCAACTGAATCTTCGAAATGAGGAGTCTGGAGGAAAGGAATTGATGGATTTAGTAAAGTATGTTTTAGAGATTAAAAAGAAGATTGGTATTCAGGTATATAAAGAAATCTCTGGCAGAACAACTTTAATATTTTGTGTTATAAATAAGCATATCTTCTTGAGCTACATTTTTCAGGGGTTATTTTTATTTTATTGAAGTGAAACATTACAGCTATTTTATAGTGTTTAATTGAGTGGTATATAGAGCATTTACAGGATTGTGTTATCATTACCTCTGTTGATTCAAAAGGTTTGTATTATATTCAAGGGAGAGCCTGTAACCATTAAGCAGTCAGTCCCTATTTCCCAGCTTCCTCCAGTCACTGGCAGCCACCAATATGCTTTCTGTTTCTATAGATTCATCTATTTTTAATGTGACTTTTTGTCTTTTTTCACTTAGCTTATGTTTTGGAGGTTTATGCATATTGTAGCATTTATCAGTTCGTTATTTTTTAAGGCTGAATAATATTCCATTGGATGTATATTCTGTATTTTGCTTATTTGTCATCTGTTGATGAACTTCTGGGTTGTTTCCACCTTTTGGCTAGTGTGAATAGTGCTGCTGTAGAAATTTGTGAACAAGTGTTTACTTAAATACCTGCTTTCAATTCTTTGAGGTATATACTTAAGAATGGAGTTACTGGGCTGGGGTTGTGGCTCAGCAGGAGACCGCTTGCCTAGCGCATTCGAGGCCTTGGGTTCGATTCTCAGCACCACATAAAAATAAATAAACAAAATAAAGGTATTGTCTACAACTAACTACAACTAAAAAATAAATATTTATAAAAAAAGAATAGAGTTACTTTTTGAGGAGCCCATAAACTGTTTCCCATAGTGGCTGTATCATTTT